AAAAGTTTTTGCCCCGGAGAACCCAATTTTTTTGTTTTTTTTTTTTAAAAAACTTTTAAAAACTTTTTTTTTTTTTTTTTTTTTTTTTTACAGCGTTCAAATTAGTTTGCATATAAAAAAGACTGGAAAGGTCGCTAATTATTTATGTTCAGAGCAGAGGTGATGTCACACTGTGTGTGTGAGACAGAGAAAGAAGTCGCTGTAAAGCAGGATTTTGTCAGCCACAAACAGACAAAAGGGATTACGGAGGGATTTGAATTCTTTTGGCTGTGTTTTGTTAGCCATCAGCATGGTTAGCTTAGTTAGCTTTGCTAGGTTAAAAAGGAGTGTCGGTGTGTATTCAGTACATTATTTGTGAAACTACAGCACAACACAATCATCTTCTCAAATATTTTGATCTGTATTGATGCTTTTCTGGAGCAACAGTGGAATGCTTTGCTTTGTTAGGTTTGCAAACGATTAGTGCATGATATCACCTTAAATGACAATAGTTAATCGTTATTTGTTCTTATCAATTAGGGAATTGGCTATTCCTATTGGAAATATTTGCCAGCATCAAATTAAATTAAGATTGATTTATATTTAAGAACAACTGCTGTTGGTCAAAGTGCTGCACACAAAAATAACAAATAATTTAAACAGAAAAATAAGATACGACAAGCACGGTACCAGTGAAACCATCAGCATCCAGTGAGGTCTGGCTCTGTGTTGCCGCAGTCTGAATGACCGGCTGGCAGGAGATAGTTTTTCTGTTTTTAAAAAGCCGCTTGCTCTCTTTTGTGCTTCCTCCATTTCAAAACATCTCAATGCTTCTGGGAAAAAAGCTAAATTTTGAGTCTTCTTCCCTCCTCACTTCTTCCCTTCAGCACTGAAGAACGTTGCTGTCAGTGGAATCTTTCAGATTTCAAGGCTTCTGACCACCAACTGGTCACCAGCCGATTTCTCTGTGCATCTCTAAAGTAACTTATGATTATATTTAATTTTGAGCATTTCTTGTCTAGGATCACCCCTCAGCCAACATTTTGTTTGTGATGTGGCTGAAATTTAAAGTGACTAAAAATTTGCTTCTTTCTTTTTTTCTTTTTTTCTCCTACAGCTTGGTAGGAACTTGATGTAATTTTTTTGTTATCAATCTATTTTATTGTAGAAACATCTCCTGGCATAAAAATATGGACCCTGTAATCATAGGTTAATCATTAGCAAAATAAATAAATAAAATAAAGCAGAAAAAATTACATTAAGCATTAGAAAAAAAAATATATTGTTGTTATTAAATTGATTTTTTTTTAATCAAGCAGAACAATGAATTATGGAATCACTCAATTTTGAGGAATAAATTATGGAATTACAATCTGATGCCACAACTTTCACCTTTTCTATGTGTTTGAGCTTTAGTTTGCCCCGCCCCTTCTCCCAAATTTCATCATATCTGGATCAAACTGCTGTTACTGGTGCTGATATTCTGAGTAGGAGGATGGGCCCCA